TCTGAGAGCCTTGGGGCCTGATGCTCACAGATAAAGCTGTCTTCCACGGCAGGAGCTGCACCTCGGTCTCTGGGGCTGCTTAGTAATGGTGTTGGCTCCCCAGGGATGAGGCAGCAGAACAGACAGGCGCAGAGGTGGCTTGCTATCCTGCCGTCATCACTTGGTGGTCAGCCTTGAAGCTGCTGACTGTGCTTCCACTTCAACGCAGAAAGGGGTGAGTTATCAAAAAAAAAAAAAAAAAAAACCCAACAAGAACAAAAACCCCAAACCAAACAAAACCAAGCAATGTTTCTTCTTAAGGATTATACCGAATGTTAGGAATTTTACACTGAAGTATTTCCAGAGAAGTGGTGTGATTTTTTTTTTGTCTGTTTTGTTTTCTCCTTAAAAAACAAGAATTTCGCCTAAAATATCAAGTATATTAACTTGAGGACTGTGCCATGCATTTAGAGTCTAAATTTGACAATTGCCTTCACGGAACCCTGTTTTATTCACCACGTGTTTTCAGGTGGCCTGCTTGAGGTGGAGGTGGGGCAGTCAAAGTCACAGTTGTCCTGGTTGGCCAAAGAGATGTGATACCTGGTACCTCTATGCTAGCAAATTTATGGAGATGGTAAAAATATGATTTGGTCATTTTAAGTCTCTCTCTCTCTCTCTGGCTGTTTTCTGGAAGTCATTTTATTTTCTTTAGGGAAAGGGATCTTAGTCTCTCCAATGCTATGCGATGCCCTTGCCTATGACAGAGTTGGCCTGAAGGTCAGACACCACAATCAATAGGAGGGCTGGTTGCTGCAAGGTGCTAATTGACATCCCCCAAGAGGAACAGTGTCAACAATCAATAGAGGAGACACTGGCGTAGGTAGATTTATGGCTTTGATTTTGAAAGGGTGCGGGAATGCCCAGTGATGCTCTGCCCTGCACTCGTTTTGAATGTTAATGTTTTCTTGAGGATGATTTCAGACTCTCTGCGAGGATACTGCCTCTACTCACTGAAGCAGAATCCTCGGAAGAGTTGCTGAGGCGGAACTGAAATCATGGCTTGCCTCAAAGAAGCAGCTGTAGTGGCCGCTAACGGTGGCTCACACGGGCGGAAGATGCCCCTTTCACTCGGGGTTTTAATGGGATATTTCTAAGCCTGAGACAACAGCTTTGGAGCTGGGGTGTGCCCTCGCTGCTCGCTGCTACCTCTGCCTACTGCTTGAACTCAGCCGGGCCAGAACGAATGGAAACGAGACAGGCTTCTAACTACCTGTAACTGTTTTCACCACGGAATGGATCAAGCATCTGCCCAGCCAGATCCAGGTACTTGATCATAACTGTGTCTTTGAGCTAATTAGGCATTTTTTTTCCTGTAACTTTGTAATTTATGCATGAGCCATAATCACAGACACCCTTTTGGGTCTAAGTTCTGCATTTAAATTGAACTGTTAAAGTCTATTTAATCACCAGCTAGGGAAAGTTAGTCCAGGAGGGTAGAATGTAACAGCGACTCTCTTCTGAAAGCATGCTTGAGTTTATCATGGTTCTGAGACTGCATAAAAGGTAGGAAAATAAGCTTTCCCCCTTTTTAAGCTGCAGTAAATTATTCTTCAAAACTGTTTGCTCATTATTACAGTTTCTGCCTTCATTTGAAACACCCAGCCTTCTGAAAGGTAATAAGAATATTTTGATTTGTTTACAAAAGCTCACAACTCAGTAAAAAGTACTCAGCGCTGACTGCCCCCAGGCAGCCTTTTGAGGTGCCCCTTCTGTACTTCTTTTCTACTCCAAAACACACAAGGAAAGAGACAGGAAAGCAAGAGGAACAGGAGAGCTCATTACTTGAAGTTTACAGTCCCCCTTTGCTAATGGTGCCTTCAGGTTGCCCAGTTCTGGGCTGGATACTGCAAGGTCGACCTCTGATGTTCTCAATTGGGCTGCCCCCCTTGCCTTGCAGTCTCTTCCAAACTCTCTCAGCAGGTGTTAGGAGGAAGATGATGTGGAGAAAGAGCTACAAAGGGAACTGGGGCTCTGGCTAAAGAGCTGCGTCCCCTGATGACCCAGAGGTAACAGCAGCAGTGACAGAGTCCACTCCCGAATCCAAACAGCCCTGTCTGCAGATTGGCTTTGCAGGGACAAGCAGAGAGGAAGCCTTCCAGTACAGCAGCGCGGACAGGCACTCTGCAGAAACTGCCTGTTGACATTCGGAGCTGACCAGTTTTGCATGCCTTTAAAAAAAAAAAATACTGCTCGCGAGCTCTCTAGTATACTTGAGCATATTTTTCCAGAGTATAAAATAATATTCACCCTCAGCTGTCCTGTGAATTTTGAAGTTGGTAGGGATTGTGTTGGAACAGGAGGGTTATATTTAGAAAAAAATACGTTGCCATGTATTTATGTTAACCAACAATAAAGATGAGTTGAAAGGATTTAAAATATATAACACACTCAGAAGTCCCAGGACATGTTTACCTGGCCTTCTCAGATGATCACCTGGACCAGGAATTACTTGAACTTATAGGAAACATTTTGAATCCTTGTGTGTACACACAAGTGTGTAGGCACTCTTCTCGGGGATGCTATGCAGGGTTTCTGGAAGATTCACACAACAGTGACTGGATTACACTCTCATAGTTACAGATCTCAGCGCTTGAAAAATTGCTAGCCGTTTGGTCTTACTGAGTTAACGAGGAGTCCCGTGTAGAATTTAGCTCACAGTTGTAGGAAGTGATGGGCAATAGACTCACCGGGGAGGTTCGTCTACGTGGAGTAAGTGAGTGTGTCAGAGAGAGATGGAGGGGAGAAACTTCAGCTCTGAGAGTCAGAATGTGGCTGAGATTTTAGCACAAAATATGGGCATTGAGTTTACTGAGCCTCAAACCTTGCAAGTCATGGTCCTGTTTCAGTAGTTAGCTCTGGTGCTACTGCAGAACACGGTAACACTTCAGGTAGTCTCTGCCAGACACTACAAATAAAGTCAGCCCTGCCTCTCTAGCCAGCTCCCTTCCTGTTTGTCTAAACAGCTGTCTCTCAGCTCTGCCAGGTAAATATAAATGAGGTAAATATGATCTTTTCACAGGACAGAGTGTCCTGTGAGCGCAAACTGGACAAGCCGACCATTGCTCTTGTTTCTATGGATGGACTGTGTTTACACTAGCTTTTAAAAACATGTCAACCCACGAAATTAGATTTCTGGCCTAGAAGTTTTAAAAACTAGTCCCGGCAATTATGTGGTTTAGGAGTACCTAAAACACAGACAGCCTTGCTTAACTATGAGACCGTTAACAGCAGGGGATGAGGCTTTCAACTCATTCTAGCACAGCCTCTGGAGGAAGGGGAGATGCTACTCTTTGGGTAACTGGACAGTTTATTCATACTGCTCCATGCCTTTGTGTGCTATATTTACATAACAGAAACTAGAAATAAAACTCAATTTACTCAAAAATAGTAAAGAGAGAAAACACGATTCCCCTACTGCTTATTAACTGAACCCCTGGAACGTGCCAAGAAGAGCTGCCATATCCACCACCACAGTGCATTCCAGGAGGGAAGGCATTTGGGCCCCAAGTCTGAGGCTCTGGAATCAAGGGTCTACGTATTTCTGCACAGCGAGGTAACAAATGCACTTGGCTATGTGTGTCTCTGCCACTTTAAAAGTAAGTCGCAGCTCTAAGATATACTTTGCTCATAAAAAGAAGTATTTTTCCTTTTTGTGAAATTGCGTAATGAGATGCAAATTGGATAGAATGTCCAAGGGTTTCCAGCCTTAGAAGGGTGCCTGTTGACATTAGTATTCCCGTGGAAGACATTAGGATTCAGGATATTGGAATGGGCTGAAATACTTCTTCAAGAGGCAGATTATGTAAGAATGACCTCTTCAGTGGACGGGTAGTTGCCTATGCCTGGCTGAATGTTTTATTAGGTTTTGGACCCCACCCATCAACACTGAAGCCAAGGAACTACCAGCTTTTCAAATCATAAGATCTACAACTCTGAATGTGTCATGGTGACTTGAACTGTCTGTGATTCTTTGAAACAAGACCTGTTTTTAACACAATGATCTCATATCTTAGCTTAGCTGAATGACATGTGTTTTTTATCTCTTCATTGACTAAGTTAGCCAGAACCTTGCATTTTGAGTTCAGGTTCCTGGACTATAAAGGGGCCAGAAATTTGATACAATCTGTACTCAAAACAGGCAGAACCCCAGAACTGCGAGGAATTCTTCAGGTGCTTGTGGTATCCTAGGGGAGGAGGCACACACACCATGGAGACTTGTCCTTGGGACGCATCTGGAGGCAGAGCAGGGAGTGCCACCTTTGGGAAAGCAGAGCTGTGAGGGCTTAGCTGATAACGACCCCGAGAACATAGAGCAATTCCACTGACAGAAAGGGAGAGGAGTGTATACTGTGCGCAGAGCCAGGAGGTGTTATTGAGGGTGTCCTAAGAGCTGTTTTAGGTGAGCAGGTAAAATCAGAATGTTGTCCTCAGGGTGCTTCTAGACTCTCCATCACCTGGGGCTTTATTTTGACCACTGTGTTGGCCAGTTTACTAGAAGTCAGATGTGTTTGTTTCATTTTGAACAGGAGAATAAATCGATATCATAGAAGACTCCATTGCTGTAACATTTATTGCTCTGTGGTCCAGGAAGCATCAGAGCATCACATTCCACCCCGCCCCCCCCCAACACACACCCCAGATCCATGGGCACAAGGGTACCCAGGTCTCTGGGGGGAAGAGTGGCTAGATTAGGAATGAACAGAATGCAGGTCTAAGAAGGGCAGATCCACAAAGAGAAGGATGCTTTGTGACTACTAAGGTGGGAAAGAGTGACCGACAGTGAGGACGGACCTGATTCAGCTGGGCTGCTCACAGTCTGCCAGAGGAGTCAGGGCACTTCCTCTGTCCGTGTCAGAGGCTCCATGGAGATTGACTTGAGAAGAGGGGTGTGTTATATAATTTCCCATGGCATCTTTGAACTGAGGTTTTGTTTGCTTCGGTATTAAAATTAGACTTTATTTCTCGAGCGCACACAATTGGACCTGGCAGAGGGACGACACAGATGCTCCGAATGCTGGGGACAGCCCACCAGGGCCAGCCACTGCTGTGAGTAACCGTGGTCCTTCTTTATACTTAAAACAACCGCCGTGTGCTATCAGTAAGACTTAGGATGGCTGTGCCAAAATCTTCTGGGATGATTTATTTCCTCAGATGTCTTTATTCGTCTAAAATAAAGAAAAAAAAGATTTCATTGTTTCTGTTTATAAAAGAAGGGCTTTATTACTTAGCTAAAAACAATGCTAGATATTTTGTAAGAATATTTTGTAAGAATATTTTTTTACTAAAATGGGGACCCTTTATGAAGACAGGCTTTTAAAAACTTAGGTGTCTGAACATTTGCGAGTCGTGGTAGTTAAGTGATGAAGGTTACGTCTTCCTTCTGTGTCTTTTATCCCGTTTCCTTTAATTTACACATGCAGTTGAACATTTTAAATTTGTAAGTTGCTAATTAGCTGATTGCCGGCTTCAAATTAAGCACCGTCTTTGAGAGATTTCAATCGATTCTAAGTGAGTTTATGAAGTGGTTGGCATTTGTTTCTGAATATCCCCCGGTCCCCCGGATCCCTTGGTAACCATCTCTTTTCCACTCACCATTTATCCACCTGCTAAGGACACCCACGGCTGCTCCCCCTCCTCTCGCATGGGCACATCATCCCCTTAGGGAGCTTTACCCCAGCCCCTGCGTTTCTTGGCACTTTCATCCTGTCTCTTGCTTCTTTTCCTTGTAGGGACAGTCCTCACCGGGAAGTTACTGCTCATGGGGTTTAGTGCGTCATTTTTCCTTACTTGAAGTACTAACTTGGTAAGAAGATTTAGTTATTTGAGCAAAATGTGTTATTTTAGTAAGAATTTGCTCACTGTGGTGTGCTGAAAGAGGGGGGGGTTACAGTTCACAATGTGCTAGAAAAGTTATCAAAATTCTTTCACTTGTTTTTCTTATCGAACTGGTATCAATCTCTCTGTCCATTATCATCATCGCTGTCTATCTATATGCATGCAGCCTTCCCAAGGAAGGTGTCAGGTTCTAAACACGGATTAACCAGGTTTTTGCTCTTGTCTGTTCCTCCCTCCGTCCCTTCCCTCCTTCGTGCTCCCGCTCTCTTCCCTCTTTCTGGGGTGCAGGGGATGAGATTCTAGGGATAGATCTGAGCCTGACTAGGTGACCTGCCACTGAACGACACCTCCAGCTGCCTTTTGCCTTGTAACCAGCAAAGGGTAGCAAACCACAAATTAAAAGTGACTATTAAGCCACTGTAATAGTTATCAGTGAGAAAACAAAGCACCAGAGTCCTTTACAAAGAGACTCAGGACAGGGGGGCGGTTGGGGATGAGGGCCAGGCAGTGTGAGGAGGAATAAGGCTGGATCCTAGGGGTTCCCATGGGGCTGCTTGTTGCTGCAGATGCAATAGTGTGTGTGCTTGTGGTCTTGAGTTACGGGTAAAGCCTAAGAAAGTGAAACACCGATCCAGGGCAAAGGGATCGCCATTTGCCCCATTTGAAGAAGGTCAAAGAAAATGATTTCTTGGCGTTAAGATGTCTCTCCCGTTGCTCAGACACCAGTAGCGGGAGAAGAAATTGGGCCCGAACACGGCTTTGCTGCTCTGGTAAGCCAGCTTCTAGCTTGGGGTTCATCTTCCAGGCCTACGAGCTCTCTCTCTCTCTGGTTCTCCCCTGATTTGATTTGACATCACAGATCCCAGATATCTTTAATTTCATAAATGTATATAATTAGTTTTCTTTTCCTGCATTTACTTTTCGGATTGTGCGTTGTTTTCATAAAAGACATTCAAGAAATGCATGCTTTGCTGCGTTGAGAACAAAGGAGAAGATGCTGACTTCTTTTGGGCCAGAGGGAAACTAGACACAGAATGGGATTCTGGCGAATAGCAAGGACAGGAGGGGTCACAGGGAGGAGAACCCATAGGACGGGAAAAGGCGAGAAAGAACATGGCAGGGGCCGTTGAGACAAGCGCTAACCCACCATCAAATGGCTCTCCTTTGTGCCTTTGTGCTCTCCTGCTCTTGGATGATTTTGTATTTGGAGTGATTAAGTCCAATGTGGCTACAGATGGCCCTAGTCTCTTATGATAAGGAAATTGCATCGGAGGCTCTAGCTACTGCCCTGTCCTCTTCTTCTCCAGACCCAGTGAGAATTAACACCCAAGGCCAGGAAAATACTTTAAAAACAAGTGAATTTGACACAAATCCAACCTAGCAATATCCCCTGTATTTCTAAAGGGCTTATTTCTTTTTACAATCCAGTTAAGTTTTATCTCACCCTTTCTTCAAGAGAGGCACGAGTCATGAATGAGACTTCCGACTGTTTCAGCATTCAAGACAAAATAATTAAAGTGGTTGAGCTACAAAAGGGTCCATTACCCCCAAACTGGTAGCTGCATCCTCCCAGACACTGGTAGCTCTCCCCTTTGTAAGCCTGCTTTTAAATAGAATAGGGATTTTGTTTTATATTTGTTGATGTGTCAAATTACATGCGCTCTGTTATTGCAATGGCTAATGGTGTACTAAAGGGATGGTTGGAAGTGAACTGAAGAAGCTTTGTGTTGATGCTGTAGATCATAATTTTTCTTTTTATTTGGTTGCTTACTCTCATTGAGGGTAATTTCTATGGACACGTGTTAATTTCTATAGCCAAACATTCTGTTGTGTATTTTGTCTTACAGAAAAAAAATCATAAGCAGTGTGTCATATCACTTTCGATATCGTCTTGTCTAGTATGTAGGCTTTTCTTTACAAAATGTAAGCTGATTTAGCACAGTACCCGAAGATTTTTAATTACCTTTCTGTATTCTGTTATTTGCTTTTAGAAGCAAATAGTAATAGCTAAATGTCTCAATTTTAACAGTGAAATGTGATAGCTCTCTCTCTCTCTCTCTCTCTCTCTCTCTGTGCAATGACGTAAGTGATAGGAAGCCATCCATAGTTGAAAAGCTACCCTTTTAGTTGTAGCAGATCAAACTCATTTCCCCTTGCTTAATTTTCTAGGTCCTCCCCAGGGTCAAGTATTGAACCTGGTCTTTGTCCGTTGACGAACAAAGATAAAACACATTCCCTGATGGTTTAGGAATCTGCTCCACTCTTTTCCCCTCAGCTTGGGCAGCAGAAAGCAATGTCTCTCTTAGTCCTGTCTGAAATGAAACAACACTTTGATTTTTTCTTCTTCTTGTTACACTTTTCAAATTTCACAGACGTTCATCTTTGTCGCAGTACTGAGAGATACACAGGGAATTCTGAATGCATTTTCACCACTTACTGACCTCTCTGAGGTCTCACGCTTGTTTAACAGCAAAGAGGAATCCAGACTCTGAAGCCCAGAGCCCAGTTCTTCCCCTGAGAGTTTCTGTACTAAACACCTTTTCTGGTCTCAGTTTCCTTGCCCTGGAGTTATAGAGGTCCCTGCTTTCATGACTCACGGATGTCACGTGTATCACAGTGCTGGCTCATAGGTGCTGCTCAACCATTGATTGGCAACATTCTCATAACTGTGTGAGAATATCATGACTGTATGAGACTGGAGGAGTCCGGGGCAGAGAGGCTGCACATCTAGTCAACGGCACATGTCGAGCCAACATTGGTTTGCGTAGGGATCTTCTTGTACGGATCTTCTTTGTTGTATTTGCACTCCCTGCCCATCCCTCCTGGTCCCTGGTGGCCGTTCTAAGGACAATCTGGTAATTTTGTGCAAAAGGGTTATATTACTCTCCTCACTCATGCAGAATTAAGTCTCCCTGGTGTGAAGGAAAGTTGGCTTATAGACTGAGGCTGAGAAGTATGGCTGTGATTCAAGAACGGGAGGTTCCATTCTGATCATTACTTCCTCTTCTTTCCTTTCTTTCTCCCCAAAGATAACACAGCCTCTCCAGGAAGCAGCCACCATGATCTCTGCAAACTGAGGATGGAAGAACGGGGAGCCAGGAAAGTCTGTGCTCTGGATTCCCTGGACGATGGATGGGGGACAGCCCATCCCTTCACCTCTGGTACCCCTTGGGAACTTATCAGATTCTAGCATGTCTCTGGAACAGAAAACAACATTTGTTTTTGTGATTTTGTTGTTCATCTTTCTGGGCATCCTCATCGTCAGATGCTTCCGGATTCTTCTAGACCCATATCGGAGCATGCCAACCTCAACCTGGGCTGATGGGCTTGAAGGCCTAGAGAAAGGGCAGTTTGATCATGCCCTTGCCTAGCTGGGATGGAGTAGGCTGCCCTCTTAAGGAGGCAAAGTGTTTTATGTCTGATCGAAGCTTCCTTTTTGTTAACATTCTCAACAAATCAAATTTTAGCCATATCTGACCTTAGGACAATGATTCGTTATTTCATAAACCTGCTATTGTGTTAAAGGTGTCTTATTTGAGGATAATAGAAAGTTTATATTCCGTAGGAAGGTACAGACATCGGTGTTTACTCAATGAAGGGATATTGTTGCAGATGTGATTGTAAAACCAAGAACACTGACATTAGACTTCTCTGTCAACTGAAGAATCTCTGATCAGAGCAGAGTATAAACAAAAAGAGAAAATCTAATCTGTGTCAGAGGACCAAGCTGAGAAGAGACCACCTTGCTCAAATAATGCCTCTCAGTTTTATTTTGTACACATTTAGGCCCTGGGCAGAGTGATGAAGCCGGGGCAGAGACAACCGTAAGCCGGCACCCATTTTCTCCCCAAAGCAGGGGGCACTAGGCCGCAGACAGCTAGATATTTACTTGGTAAATTTGGGTTGGAATGCTATCATTTTCATTTTTACATAACATTAAACTCAAAAGTCTACAGAGTCTTGAAATGACCAAGCCAAACCCAATCTCTGTATTCCTATGGCTAATACATGTAGATGCACCGCTGTATAATCTGAATTCATTGTCTTTACATTTCTGATAGAACTCATGGATTACAAGTGTAGCTTCAGGGCTTTGTTTTAAAAGGAAGTTCACCGCTTAGCAAGAAGACTGTGGTTATAAGAGGATTATGTGTTTATATCTGTATATAGTTATCAAATAAAAAGATTTCAAAATGCGGCAATAGAGCCTCTCATTTTGCTGAGATATATGCTGGTGGTGTGTGGTACTGAATGGGTTAACATCATCCCAAAAGAAGAGAAAAGGAAAAGTCATCCCATTCACGCACCCCCCCCTTCATGAAGGGTGCCTACAACACAGTGCAGCCTATTCTAAGGAGGGTTAGGAGAAAGGAAGGTTATCCAGGAAAGGGCAGGGGGTCCAAGAGAGGGAGATGGATACTATCGGTGTGCATGCGTGAACAGTCACAAGCCTGGAGAGAGAGTTAAGTGGGAAAAGCCTGTGACCCACTGTTGAAATGACACCTCAGAATCATCTGGGGAGCTTCATATGTATTCTGACTTGTCTCATAAATGTCTCACATGGCCATGGTAAGAATCTGTCTAACAATATGGAAGAACCTAAGAAGTAATAGTCTCGGGTGCGCAGTAAGTTTGAAGCCAGTCTGGACTACATGATACCCTATATGAAATAAACAAACAGTAACTCTCAAAATCCTACCCAAGATTCTCCTACCTACTCAGTTTCTCCTCGGGATAGACTGCAGTCTTCCATCCTAGGACTTGAGCCTATAGATTTGAGCTATTGAACAATGATCCGGAAGATAAAACATGGGTAGTGATGGGTGTGAGCTGAAACCACCGGTGTAGACAGCGTTCCAAGAGACGGCTGCTCCTGTGCGGTCATTCACATCTGAGCTGTCGGTAAGTTACTGTTTTGACAGAACCTAGAACTTGACCTAGGAGGAGAGGGGTGGTATGGATGTATTTAAAGAAGGGGAAGAGAGCAGGCAATATAATAAGGAATTGACGGTTTGAGTGGGGAATTTGGGCTGGGAGGGCCTGGCTGGAGGAGACAGTGGGGCTATCCTCATGAAAGACAAAGTAGGGCTGGAAACCCACTGGTGATAGTGGGAGTCACTGTGGATTTATAATAAGGAAAATGACATGAAGAACCTGGTGATAATTTCAGTTTCTGCCTCCTTCCTTGGGGCAACCCCAACTTCTATTTATATAAGGGGAATAAACAGAAATATCCACCCACCCTGTTTAATGCTTCTGAGTCCAGGCCTTGGCTGTAAGCGCACTGGGCCTCCCCAAGCCGGCTCTTCCAGGCTTTCTCCTTTTATTGCCTGTTCCATTTTTTTCATTAGAATACAGCTCCTTATTCTGTTGCCCTCACCGAGTCCCCATCCCCACCCTCTGTCCAAAGCAAGAGTACCACAACAAGTGATAAAAAGCTTTGAGCTCTTCAGAGTAAATTGACACCCCTCACCCCCTGCCCTGAGACATACTCTCAACTTTTTGGGGTAAGAAACATATTCCAAAACTGCCTGGCAAGATGCCCACCCCTACCCCCTGCTTTCCGGTTATAGGAATTACAGGGACAGCATTGCCTATCTTACAAGATACTAATAATGAGTCGACCTTTATCATGTAACTCTGCATCTCAGGATAGGAAAAAAAGTGCTTCCCAATGTTGCTCCAGATTTGCTTTTTGATTCAGAAAGAAACATAGCAACGCCATTTGTAGTCTGAGCTCTAAATTACGAGTACATGGTTTATGTCCTTCAAGACACCCCAAGTTTTAGATCAACATCTCTTCCTCCAAGATCCCTGTTTAAATATAAACAGGCATAAAACATGTTTAACTTAGGGTATGAAGGAGATGAAGTCAACTCCTGCTGTTGGATTTGTAAGCATACCGGCATGGAGAATGCTATTTTCAAGGCTTAAAGAGATGAGGGAAGATACACCACTTTAGGAGGCAGCAGCTAGATTCAGCAGATATTTATATATGTAGAAAAAAATAAATCTATACACGTTTCCTTTTTATTGTCCTCACTGCATGGTGTGATACTCAAACGCCTTCAGATTTTAAATATATTGATGCCTTTGCTATGCCGAAGAAAATTCCCCATAAGTAATTAAAGCATGAACCTTGTAGTGTTAGGATGCCAGTTTTCAGATCTGACAGGTGAAACATATGGAAACCTGGTTATTTCGGAGAAGTACTGTAAGCCCCAAAGCACTGTGAAAAGTCTGAGGTAGCTGTCTCCTTTGTTGACTTATAATGAAGTTCCCAGAAGTGGAGCCCAAAGCCCTGGGCACACACAATCCGGGGTCAAACTGGTCGGTGCCTGAAGGGATTATTTGCTTGAGAAATCGTCCAAGCTTTGTACATCTTGTTTCTGAAAAAGAAGAGATGAAATTTCCAGGCGAACATCCACGCAGCAGACGGGAGCTCACCCTATCCTACAGTTACTTTGGCTGGAAGAGCCAGGGCCCAGCCAGTCTGGGGCCCTGTCCAAGGTGATTTTTTTTTTATTACTGTTTGTGTGTTTGTTTTTAGTATTAGAGGGCCCTGTTGGATTTATCATAGAGCAAAAATGTGCTCCAGTTTCCTGCTACCAATGAATACTCGTGCCATGTCCCAAGGAGTTGCAAAATCCTCTGTGATTCTCTGCTCCACAGGCTTTCACGATATCCAGACCGGAGATCCTGGAAATACACAATTTAGAGAAAGGGGATTTCATTTAAAGTGTGTTTCAAGAGAGATTTCCCCAAGCCCTGTCATCGACCCAGAATGCCCAGCTTACTTCTGTTTTGAAGGAAGTCAATTTCCATGGGTTCTTGGGAACTTCAAGAACCACAAAGAAGAAGGAGGGTTGCTGCCCATCCTGGGTGTCCCACCTTACAGGTAAAGAGGCAGAGGAACAGGTCCTCTGTCAGGACCAGAGGCATAGGAAATAACGTGCGTCCTTCTCTCCAGTTTGGCTTCCTTCACCTGTGCTCCTGGATCTGGTTCTGTCCTTCTCCACTGTTTAGCATGCTATTACTCAGTCTGTGTGTTATCCCATGGTCATCTAAACTAAAGGACCAGCTAACAAAGCCATGCATAGAAATATCCATTTGCTGATTAACTTGAAATGTTACAGTTTTAGTTTCTTTCTGCAGCACGGAAACACTTGTTTTGGAAAAAGAAGCCCTTTAGCCCATGTATTATTTTCAAATATCCTGAAGCTTAGGTGTCAGCATCATTTCCGGTGAGACTGCAAGAGATTCTTTAGCAAAGATTCTTTCTTGAAATGCAGGCTAATCAATCTAGGGTAAGGTTCCTTTAATCCAAACAGACTTCTGAGCTGTTTTTCCTAGCAGAAGGGGGCATGACAGGCAAGGAAGAATCCCACAGTGTTCACAGAGCCTGTGGCTACTCTCCTGTCCTTGGGTCATCAAAGGCAAGCCTGGGAGCTCTGGGGACCCAGCCAGAGCTTCAGAACACTTACCCTCCAAGAGGTCGCTGGAGTCTGAAAGCAGATTTTATCCTTCTCTGTTCTGCCTTTCTTCTTTGCCACAGCAATCCCTCCCCCAGCCACCTCAGCTGAAGCTTGCTTTCAGCAGCAGGGTGGCAAGTGATCAACTGCAGTCTGAAAATGTTCTGGAAAATTCAGAAGTAAACAGAGCGATAACATTCACATCGTTGTTTTTAAAAGTCGTATGTCATTATAACTATTCTACCGTTGTTGACCCTTCAATGGCCATAGTTTGTAAATTAGAATTCAAGCACAGGAAAAATTTCAGTGTATGTTGGCCTTAAGCTTCTATTGGGGGTCTCTCTTCAATATGGGGGTGCTACTGGACTTGCTCTCTTTTCTGCTAATTTGAATGCAGGAAGAAGCCTATGAAGCGTTTAAATTTCTCTGTTACATGTATTTTTCCCCTTAACAACCAGTGACAAAGGACAGGCTGGCTTCTTCCTGACCTCACCTAACTTCTTAGAGCATCCATTGCATTTCTTTCTTGTTCTACATTGTATTCAGGGCACCCTCATCAGCTAGTGTGTCTCTTCCTGAACTTCTCATCAGCGGATCTTGTTCTGCATCTGGAATGACAGAAATTTCTCTTATGCTTGCACGTGACTGCCCTCAAGCTATAGTTACTTCAGAAAGCCTGCTCCCTTCAGGCCTGTATTTCTGAGTGTTTTCCAGCAAAAGGCAAGATGCCTTTCTTGGGGAAGAGCTTTGCTTCGAGATGGTACCTATTCCTCCAAGGAAAATGATTGAGCAGGGTTGCCTGCCACCCATTATAAAAGACTGGTATTTCCCAAATTGAAGATTCCTCTCTGGTCCAGCGACCCACTGTGTGTGCATGCATGGTTCCAAACGTCATGGAGTTGTCCTGTGGGAACTGAGCAAGGGACCGGAAGATACTGCTATTGCATGGCCTTTGTGTCTGACCCAGGAGAGACAGCATGTCCACATCTATGAAACTGTGTCAGGCTGACCGAGGAGTCTGTAATTGCTGGAAGTTCTGGTTCTGGTTCCCCAAAACAAATACACCCAGTTTCTTCAATAATACTTCACATTATGAAGTATTTTGAAACCATCTCTTGTTCTTATCAAACTTTGGACACTCATCAGATTCACGCTGACTCTAGTATCTAGACAGGAAAAGGAAAGTCCATACATAATTAATTAGGATGACTTGAATCAAAACAGACGAGCTTTCATTTCCCTAATTGGAGAAGTGATAGTTCATGAGGATGACATCATCCGGCGTCTATTCTAACAAGCCTCTAAAAAACCCCAAACAAACAAACAAAAAACCAAAAAACCCCACACAGTCAAAATATTACAGGAAAAGACAACTTCTCCAAAAGTGGCTGTTCAACTGGTGTCTTTCTCTATTTCAGTTCTGTTTGGATCTTTTGAGTTTGAAATCTTTGGGTTATTTTCTCTGGTAAGTTGAATTGGGTCTCTTTCTCAATAAAGTTAAAATATTTTCAAAA